CCAGACTCCGGGGCCCAAAGTCAAGGACACCCACTCTCAGGGGCCCAAAGCCAAGGGACTCCCAGACCCAGAACCGTCTGATTTAAAAGCCAGATAGCCAGAAGATATTTATAGAAACATGAGGTGATGGTTCTGCTGGGTCTGAAAGTTCTGAACATTTGGCCTGGGTCCGATCTTTACCAAAAGCTCATCTTCTTTACTCCTGGCTGACCTTCAGCAGAACCGGACCCCAGCTGCTGTTCTCTGAGCGACCAGCGGGTGTCACTGTTTCCTCAGCTTTATTTTCCAAACCTTCAGGCTGGAAGCAGAACCTTTAGACACACGCAGGATGGTTCTGGGCCTTTTACCCAAACCAGACGGGTCAGAACTCGGTGACCCGGGCTGCAGAGCATTTTGATCCAGTTGGTTCTGAACAAACAGTGTAATAGGGCCCATGTGGATCTGGTTTGGATTGGTACTAATAGGCTCCCAGTATGGAACCAGATAAAACCCAGTGCTGCAAGGCAACTGGACCTTTGTTTGATACTACGACCAGAACATCCAGAACCCATTTGGTTCTGAATGTTGTTTAAGGGCGCAGATATGGGCCCTCTGACGGTACCATGTGGGTCCATTTAGCTGTAGGATCTGTTCGGGCCCTGCGCATGCTAATAACGTCATGCTACACGCTACTTGCAGCTGCTTCTCTACAGTCATTTTTGGGTTGTCTGCTGTGTTTTAAATTGTATCTATGAATATATTACTAATGTATAAAACTGTATTTATTTAAGCCCTACTTCTCTTTTCCTAAGTCGTTACTCCACTTCTCCGCCTGCCATTGTAAATAAGAACTTGTTCTTAATGACTTGCCTGTAAAAATAAAGGTGTTATAATTATAATAATAATAAACATGATTGGCTGAACGTTGCCACATGAAATAAAACTATTTGGTTGCCTGGACAACGATAACATCAAGCAGTTTCTGTGTGCCGAGTCGGGAGCGTCTGTAGCGTTAGCGTGTCTAATGACCAATGAAGTTTTACCTGATTGATAAAAAAAAAAGCTGAAAAAAAAAATCTGTTTCTGGTGAACAAAGTAGGCTAACTGTTAGAGCGTGATATAAAGAATTGGGTAGCGCTGTAGCTAGCTGTGCTCAGTAGCTAACAGGTTAGCCTCTTCTAGCTCACTCCGTTAGCCATATTAAGCTACGCTACCTTTAAATTCGTGTCAACAACAACCGTTCCTTTTCTACGGGTAGAATAAATGTTTAATTCGTCTAACATCTCTATGAAAGTCATTTTTTAAGATGTTCCATTTGTCCTCTGACCTCAGATCTTAATA